CGTGTTTAATTGTACTCTATTTTTATTAAGTTTTGAAAAAACACAATTTTTCTACCCACGTATATGTTTTTCGTCATAAGAGTAATCAGAAAAACAAGAAAATGTCAAAAAAAAAAATAATGATTACGATTTCGTATGTTTTAACCCCATTGATGAACAAGAAAAAGTTACAAAAATGTCAACAAAAAAATATGCTATTGTTAAGAACAATTGAAATGTATATTTTACCAGATATCAACGTATATAACCGTAATCGTTTGAATAAAGAGCATGTTTCAAAAAACATGACAAAATCAAAAAGCTATGTATTTTAATTTGGTATCTTCTGGGTTTTTAGAAAGTAATCAGATGACAGACGATTATTGGAACCAGATTAATAACCTTTAAAAACCGGATTTGAATGAATCTGATAATATAGTAGAACTCAATTTACAATTTTTATTACAACCATTTTGGGGTCACAGATTATAGACAAATTATATTTTTCTATTTTTTATTAAACTGTAACTATTTTTTGTAATCATACTTTATAATCGTAAACTAAAGATTGCACCGACTGAAAATTTTGTTCAACTGCCAAACGGAATTAACTATGTTAATAAGCAAAACAACAAGATTGGGATAGGATAGACTCGATTGGAATTGGACCTCCCGAGAAAACGACACGAGCGGCACGACAACTTTGCGATTCGAGATTCAGCAGGTTGTGCGGGTGTGATTCACGGCAATTACTTCACCACTTGAGCTTTGAATTGGAGGGCAGTGCAATTTGCTAGATGTTTGTTGTTTGTTGCGTGTGGTGGCAGTAAATTGCGGTAGCTGCTGCCGTTGGGTAAACATTTGAAGTGGCTTGGCGCGTCGTTCTCGGGGAAGTGGGATTCAAGGCTGCGTTGCTTATGCCTGCTGCTCCTTGGACCCGTAATTGTAGTGGAGGAAGCGCAGACCCTGGATCGTTTGGGCGGTGGCATTGGTGGCGTGGCAGGCGAAGAGCAGCCAGTTCCGGGGCTGGACCTTGTAGGCGAATCGCATGAAGATGCAGGAGTACAGGGTCAGAGCTGGAAAATATCCACGATTAGCTTTTCAATCATATTTAGTTAAAGATGCACAGAGAGAAAGTCGGGGAAAGTGCGATGGGACTAGCAGTTATTGTAGGATTCTAGGGAATGCTTACAACAGTCCGATACCAAATTGTAAGATGATATTTACATGATCATAAGTGTAGGTGTAAGGTTTAAGTGATCATTAAGATGAGCCTAGTTTTTGTCTGTCCATATATTCCAAATGATTATAGGACTTTATGAGATGCATACAACATTCTAATACCAAATTTAAGATGCTAATCCATAGTAAGGATTTAAAGATCTTCAAGCTGAGCCATTTTCTCTCTGTACATTCTTATCGGCAGCCGTTTCGACAGTCTCCGTATCTGGCTTATCAGGCCATATAGAGTGATTTGTTTGGAACATATCACAGCGACTCTGATTACGACATCCTTAGCGAAAACTTTCGATGAGAGCGCGCGTGTTGGGGTGCGTGATTTTGGCCACAGCCCGGTGATTTCCCTTACCCAATGTCATTTTGCCGGAGATGAACTTGGGACTCTTCTGTGTGTCGGCGAGAGCAGCCACCGGAATACCCCAGTTGGCCACCGGGCCCCAGAAGTGGGTACTGCAAATCCGAAAACATTAACCATATGTCACAGTTCCGATTGGCAACCACAAACCTCATAAAGTAATCCCGCCACTCCTTGGAGGCCGTTGTGGACATGGCTCGCCTAATCGACATGATGCTAGCTTCTGATAATTGAATGTATCTAACCAGGAATATTAATCAAACGCACACCTGGCGGAATAATTTAGATTAGATTGTCTGTGCCGCGCAATATAAATCCGAAAAAAGTCCCCTCAAGGTCTTACAGGTTGTTCGTTGTTGTTGTTGTGTCAGCTGTGGTTTTTGTTGTTTGTTTACCACGTCTGGAGCGTCCTAAAACACGAAGAATTTGGAACTGCAGGCCGTGTTGCAGATGTGTGAGCAGGGTACCTATGTAATCACAAACTGCGATTTCTATTTTGTTTATGTGTCGGCCGTGTTTTCACCCCGAAAGTTATATAAAATTTTGTGAAACGAAAGGCAACAACTAGTTTTCAAAGGAGTGTGCGTAAACACTAAATTGCAGTGTTTGACAACACCCGCTTTGGTGGTATTTCAATTTTAATAAAAATACTGAAAAATGTGGAGGGTGTCTTCGCTGACCTAGCGGAGTCACGCTCCCTATATAGCAGGGACAAACTCATATTTTTTTAAAGGAAGTATTCATTAGGGTGGTTCGATTTGGGGCCTCCAATCCTCAGTTCTATGAAGCAATAATGCCAAAGTAACAAATGTTTTTATATTATACATAAAGCAAGTTTATGCCAACTGTTTAGAGTACTGTTGACTAGTTGCTTGCCATACTTTAAAATTTAATAAAATATTTTATTATTTAAAAGTTCTTTAAATTGTTGAATTTCGGATTTGTAAAATTAAACAGAAAATTTCAGCATTAGACGACCGACCCTAAATTTTTCCTGTTTAGTTTTAGAACAGCTGTGAATATTTGTAACATTTTTTTTGAAACTAAAAGCATATTTATATAATTGATTTCTTATTCTTAGTTACTGACTAAAAATTGTTGAAAGCTAAGAAAACTGAAAATATACTTCCTCATTTTCATTTTAGGGAATTTTTTATAGTGTTATATTTATGTAATTTTGTTTGTAATAAAAGAGTGATTTTGGGTAGTTCTGTATTCCTTTTTAATCATACATAAGAAATATATATTCATAAGAAAATTAAGTTCTGGTGTGTCAAAAATTGTTTTAAATATTCAGAATAAATACAGAATAATGTATGACTTGTTTGTTTATTAGTTTGTATGGAAATAAAAGTGTAAACTAATGAGTTAATATTTGTAATAGATAAATAAATTTGTAGATAATTTTCTGATGGTAAAAAATTTGACTTCAGGGGGTCTTACATAATAAATATTTTTGAGAACCCTCATACCATTGAGTGTCTTGTCGTCATTTTTGTCAGGAAAAGCCCCGATCGCTAAGACATTCGATCTTCGATATTAATAGGTTTGGCAGAAGGACTCTCCTCTATATTTCCGCCAAAAAGCGGATACTTGATGTGCATTAAGCTGGCTAATTACTTTGTAATTGTAATGTGCATTAATAACGCATTTGCTGAAGTGCGGGCGCCACCATTTTCAAGTGCTTAATCCACCACGGGCTTCCGCTCCCCACTTGAAGCCCGCTCTTCCGTTCTGCCGGCTCTCTTAACAGGACGAAGAGAGTTGGGGCGATGGTTTCTGCGCAGGCTGAGTCCTTGGCCGCAGCAGCAGAGGACCAAAGCAGCAGAGCCAGCATCCGAGGACCAAAACCGAGTACGAAACTCCGGCTCAGTGTGAATTTGCGACTCGAGAGCGACGGCGGCTCAAAGGAAACTTGGCTCGGTAAAAAGCCCCGAAAAGCCATCCTGGCAACAACAAATCCTGGCCACATCCTCTGAACACAGCAGCAACAACAACGACCAAGTGGAAAATCGGAATAGGCAAATGGAAATTGGTGGCAGTCGACGTCGCTGCCGCTGCTCTGCCAACTTGTAATCCCCGAGTGTGTGTGTGTGCTGTGTGTTGTGTGTGTGCGTGCGAGTGTTTATGTGTGGTCAGTGTGCCATTTTGCAAGCATTTTCCATGTGCGGTCCTCAAGAAAATCCAAAGAAAATGCGAATTGTGACAAAAAACCATGCTCAAGAGTGGCCAAACAGAAAACCAGAATTTTGGTTAAATGAAAAAAAATATTAGCATTTAAATAACGCATTTTGATACGCGTCATCAATGGCCCACAACCTCTGAAAGACTTGGAAAAAGCCCCCAGAAAAATCAATCCTCCGCATAATGTGGAAGTTGTGCTTTCTTTTCCTTTTTTTTTATGCCCCCCATCGAATTTGTTGTTAGTTAGCATGAGTTTTTGGTACATTTTCCCCAGCAAGTCTGCCAAAAACGTTTTTCCACGCGAGAAAAAAAAGGAAAAGTTTAAGAGAAAACCAAATGAGCCGCTCCCAAAAAATCCGAATTTATCAACAACAACAAGAGCAGAGGCAAGAAGAAGCAGCAGCAGGAGAAAATGAAGAAAGAGCAACCACAACAACAGACAAAGAAATGCGAAGAAAAATAATTGAAAAGTAAAGAAAGGGGATTACTAGAGAACCAAGTTTATAGTTTATTTTTAAAGTTATAAAAGATTTTTTAATGAAAATTTATATTAAACTAAAGATATCTAAGATAAACAGCTGAATAATTTGTATCTTTAAAATTCTAAAATTGTAAAAAAAGTATCTTAAAGATACTAATATTTTAATCAAATTGAACAGAAAAAAGTATAGACAATGGTAACGGAATCATAAAAATAGCTCCCTTTTTAATAAAATTAAAAAAAATGAAATCAAGTAATAGGAAAACTAGTTTTAAGGGCCACAATTTGAAATGCAAGAGATTTTTTTTGGTTCAGAGTGTAGTATAATAGGCCCCGCCATATAAGACGACCTACTTAGCATCCCTCGAAGGTCTTTGTCGTCAGCTGGACGCTGGTTTTTTCCTGGGCGCGATGCTCGAACATAATTACTCGCTCCTGGTGGCGCACTTTCGAAATGTCCCCAGAAACGCCTCAATTGAATAAGTGCCAAATGGAGGCAAATAGCGCTCTCCTCGGGCCCACTTAAGCGCACTAATCCAGTGCGACTAGTTAAAGTGTCCGAATCTAAATCTGCTCGCTTGTTTGCTGTTGATTCAATCAAGCGCAAGTCGGCACAATCACCCGCACCCTCGCGATAATGCAAACAGAAAGCTCAATGCAAATTGAGTTTATTGTTCGGTCAATTGGGGAGAATTCTCCCGCACTCGTAAGACGTTTATTTTATGGCCCGTAAGCAGATGAGGTGATTTGCGTTTAGTTGCCCCCTGACTGCCAGCCGTGCGAGGAGTTCAAGATCCGTGGAATGATAATAATAGCCCCGCCGTCTAAAGTGGGCCCGAAAATCCTTTGATTTCTCCCCAGGAAAGTGTCTCGAGTGTGAAGTGCCAAGTTAAGAAGATAAAGTGGAGAAACCCAATAGCCAAAGAGCCAAAAAGTATACAACAAAATAATAAAAATACAAAGCAAACGAAAGTGTTCAGCAACAAACATTCCTCGCCCCGGTCACTGGATCAGGATATATATATATTTATATATACATAAACATATAGCATAAGCACCGGGATTCGGACTCGAATTCTCCAAGGATAAGGAGCCACAAAAGCAATGCAGCCCTAAGTAAGTAAGACCACGATTGCAATTGGCATTAGCCTAGCCATGAGTTTTCAGTTCTGGTTCAGTTTTGGCTTTTCCGACCAAAAGGGCGTGTGTTTCGCATCCTCGCCTCTCAGCATCTCTTTGTGGGATGTGTGCGTGTGTCGCTTTCTCTCCAGCTTTCCCCCACGCTGTTGTTGTCGCTGCTGCTGGCGTTTTTCATTGATGTTGATGGCTGGTACATCATCAACTTGCTGCTCGGCTGCGCCTCTTTACTTTGTGTGTAATAAAATTGATGATAAAATAAAAATGGATAATGGGCGATTTTCGGTCTTCGGAGAAGAGGGAAATCTCCTTTGAACTGAGAAATGAGAGCCAAAGCCATCAGCCATCAGCCAGGAGTCAAGAGTCCGTTGTTTACTGACTCTCACTTTTGTGGTAAAATCACCATTACACACACATCAACCATTTCTCTTTTGTCTCTTTTTCCGCTCTCAACGCCCCCCCTCCACCACACACATACTTTCTCTTCGGCTCTCTCTTTGTGCGTGTGTGTCCTTTGTGGGTTAAAGTGTGGAGTGTGGGTGGAGGGGGTGCATCCTGTGTGGCTGATAAGAACGCTGCACAGTTGTTAATGGCTTGAAAGCCAGCCTTCAATCTGCAACGTTTTAATCGCGATAATGCGGTCTCCGATAAGAAGTAGAGGAGGTTTATACACTCGGTAGGGATATATAATATTATAAAATATAGAATAATATAAAAATGGAGTAATTTTTATATCATTATTTCTATAAAGACCTAAAAACCCAAAATGAAAATAAATAAAGTAACCAAACCCTTCTAAACCCGAATATATCGGGAAAAAAAAAATGTATATTTTTGTTAACTCTTCTTGTGGTAACTTTACTTTAAAAACTTTTTTTTAATATTAATTTTAACACGTTGATCAACCAACCTAATGGTTTTAAAAAGCCAGATATAAGAGAGATTAAAATAACATAAAACTATAACATCACAGTGGACGGCAGTCCACGTAGTGACAAAGCCCACCAAAAATGAAAATCTACTTGATTCCGATGTTTTGATTGATACATCTCGAAGTACGAGTAATAGGAATTGAATGAATTGACATATTGAATGCAGCGTCCCGAATGTAAAAATTTAGAAATGGATTTATTTAGTAGATTTTACATTTTCGTCGCAAAAGTTGATATCAGAACTTTTGTTTGTTGAAGGGCGTCGTCACTAGATATTCTGTTAAGAGGTGTTTTGTTTGATTTAAGAAACGCAAAAAAGTACATCTTAAAAATACTTATTACAAATTCTGCAAAAAGGATGTCAAGAAAAATAAATTATAAAAACTTTGATTAATACAATATATAGCAATATATTTAAAATAAAATAGTAATAGCAAATTTTTTTTTTTAAAGCTGGAGAATCTTTTTTGTACTGTATTTATTATTTATATAGGTGTTTTTTTACTGAAAATGCAGACTTATAAACACAATACATTCGAAAGATTCAAGCAGTTCACTTCGCATTGCGAATCCAGTACCCAATTAAATTTATTCACAAAACGTACTAACATTTGGTTTGTTTTTAGAAAAAGAAACGCGTAAAATGTGTTATCTATTTGGTAATGGGGATGGGGACAAGATAAATACGTGGAATTACACTGCTTACAGGGGCTAAAGGTGCCTGCCCCCGAGGAAGCCGAATAGCTAGGAATATTAGACATTAAGGGAGCACACGTTCCGTCTTGGCCCGACTGAGCCTGGCATAATTTGGCCGTCGTATCGTATTTAGCCGGGTTAATTACCGAACATTGTGTTGACGGCTTAAGCGTTTCATGGGGCGCCATAATGTGAAGGCGCTTTTTAAAACGCTGCCAGTTGTTGTCCTTGTTGTTGCCGTTGTTGCTGTTGCTGGTGGCAATTGCAGACTGGCCACAATGGTTTCTTGGCCGCATTGAGACTTCCGGCTTGATGCCGTGGAAATGACTGCGATAAGGTTAAATATTTAATAGGTTTTCCGGTTTTCTCCTTCAACTCTTCCTCCGCCGTTTTGTGTACTCGCGCAGGCTCTCAGATAATTTCTCTAGTGACAACTGTCTGTCTGTCAGTCAGTTCTGTCTCTGCTCCTTTCTCCCTTTCTCCGTGCCTCCGCTTTCCCGCTTTCTCCGTTTGTCCCTGTCACTTTGGAAAAGTTTTGCAGCTGCCTTGGCTTTTGTTTTTGTGTTTTCCTATTTTTTCCCGTTGGCTTAGCTCCTCTTTTGCTTTTGCTCCCTCTTGACTATTGGTGATGGCAGCATTTTAGAAATAAATTAAAATTTCATTTAAGTGCCTTTCAGCTGAAAACTTTCTTAATTACAAATGTTTTGTTGTCTGTTTCTGTGTCACCCACACCCTCAAAATAAAAAACAGAAGCCCTCAATTTCTGTCAATCGATGGGCTTTAAGTGTTCTTTTGCATGGACGGTTCAAGGTTAATCGGGTACACCGTTTCCAATAGGGGAATTAAATGTGTCAGGTGGTGGCTAAGCGCCCAAAGATATGCAGCAGCATATTTTTTTTAAATATGAAAACACGGCACTCCAAATAAATTGCCTGCAAATGGCCGCAGTCAGCAGAAATACGTACAAAAATGAAAATATACAAAATATAGACAAAGGACTTGGCAGCGGTGGCATCTCTTAGTCATGAGCAGGTGCCCCGGAACTCTGCCAGCAGTTGCATGCCAAAATAATCAGACAAACATCCCATCCCCGCAGCAACAAGCCATGCACTCAGCAACCAACAAACCGACAAATACACCGGGGAAATGCGGAATGAAAGAAAGAACTTTTGGAGCGCTCTTCGCATGCACTTAGATGAAAACGACAGCACCAGCAGCGTCCACAACAAAGAGCAGTAAGAACAAAAACAAGGGGACGAGCGAGTCGTCGAGTAATGACAGCAGCAACAGCAACACGACAGCAGCAACAGCAGCAACACAACAGCCACCGCAGCAACAATGGGGCCAAGTCCTGGCCACGCCCCTCACATGCTGGCTTGTCTGGCTGCCAGTGGCGATTCAGGGATTCATTCATCCATTCATGCGCTCTGGACGACGAGGACGACGGCGATGTCGCCGGATGTGTGGCAGTGGGTGGTGTATACCGTACACCGTGGGAAATGTGGCAAAATCGGATTCGGAAAGTGCATGGGGTTTCCTTAGTTCCTATAGGAGTTTCAAATTGATAGCTATCCATTTCGGGGCACGAAATTAAATATCTATTGAGTTAACTAACTTTTGTTAGGCTATTGTATCTATATTCTTTAATTATATACGAAATTAAATATCTATTGAGTTAAGTAACTTTTGTTAGGCCATTGTATCTATATTCTATAATTATATCTAGTACCGAAAAACAATTATATATTATCTTATCAAATCATTTTATCAAGAAAAAATAATTGTTTACACTTAAACCTAGTTTACCCGAAGTTTGTACCAAATGCAGTTGTAATAGTAAAGGTTCACCAATTGAAATTCCTATATTTTGTATCAAAGGTCTTAAAATTTAACAATATTATATGAAATAATAGACAAGAAAATAACTGATTATATCGTATGCCAGTTTTACAAGTATGTGCCAAAAGAAGTTTTTTTTCTTTCAATATATTTATAAAATTTTTGTCAGTAAAGTCGTTCCATCAATTTTGACAACCCAAAAGATTATTTGATTATATGCCCATTAAACAAAATCATTCATTCTAAGCTCCAAGAAATGGTAATGTGAACTGAATATGCCAAATTTAATATATTCATTTCATTAGTTCTCAAAGGTAGAACGTAAATTGACAAGTAAATATGTGCTTTCAATTGCCCAAGAAATCCCCAATGGGAATATAAGATACAACATATATTGTGGTCCTAGCAATTATACTAGATATCCTTAATGAAAACGCATTATATAATTAGCTAATTTGCAGCTGTCTCGTATGTGTGTCAGCTGCCTTTGTTTTCCCCAAGTGTAAGACCTGCATCTTGCCACATCGTTGTTGCCACTGATGCTGTACTTGCTGCTCTTGTTCTTGCTTTTGCTGTTGTTGTTGGAGGAACACACTTAAGTGGTCGTTTAGAGTATGCCACGCTGTTGTTGCTTGTTTATGAATAAAGAATAGGAGGGGTGCTGCCAGTTAGAGCGGTCAATTAGAGAGTTTCATCGAGTTAAGCTTCCGCTGCCTGCTAATGGACTGGCATCATCAGCTTGCCCCGAAGCGGAGAAGAGCTGTTTCATAATTGAAAAAGTTTTCAATAAGGCATATATAATGTGTGGAGGGCATCTAAGCCATAATGTGACACATTCGAGGGTGTGTGTTTGTATCTGTGTGTGTGTGTGTGTGTGCTTTCTTGTGGCAATTTCAATTGGCAACCTCGGGCTGCAGTAAGCGCACCCGTGAGTGCCATAAGCATGCGTCCAAAGATAATTGTTACGTCATTAAGCGACGGACTGTAAAAGGCCCAGAACAGCAAACAAAATAAATAAATAAGAGACAATCACACACGCACACAGGGACAAAGACAAACACACACACACATCACACAGCAAGGATGTGTGGCACTGGGTAAGCAGAAATTATCGTTGCCTACTTTTGTGCGCAGTTCACAATTAAATACATTGGCAGCGACATATGCGGCAAAGCGTAAACAACAAGCCTGGCCAAAAGGAAAGGCGCACCAAAAGGGCGGCTCGGCAGAGAGGAAAGTGGAAAAAGAAAGCCTTTCGAACGCCGCTCTCTGCGTGTCTATCCCAGCGACTCTTATGCGTTGTTGTTAGCCGACCAGCGCAGGCGCTCTCTCTCTCTCGCTGCCTCTCTCTTTGTCTCACCACATATCCTTTCTTATCCCGCTCTTACCCACACCACACACACGCACATAGATTGTTGGGCAATGTCAATGTAACTTTTATCCAGCTGCCGCTTCACTGCTTTCCTTTGGCTGCAGCGCCTTCGCTGCGGTGGTGTGCGTGTGTTTATGCTCTGATTTGAATGCCACTGATAAGGTGGCATTACGCGCTCCTAGAAGGAGTCAAAAAAAGGGGGGGGGGGGTTTGGGGAAGCTGGGGCGGTTGCCTTTTGCATTATAATTCGATCTGCCTTAGTCACAGTGGAGATGGTTGAGTGTGTGCGTGAAGCTACAGTGAGAACAAATGAGTGCTTTATTTACTTACATCCAGCTTTAAAATTAGTAAAACATTTCAAAATTTTAAAATCTTTTTTTGAAGAACTTAAACTACTACTTAAACCTAAAATATTCTAAGAACTAATATCTGATGTTTGCTGTTTATGGAGTGCCGTAAAAAATGGAGACAATAGTATTCCAATCAAAGATACATAATACTTCATTTTTACAAAAAACTAAAATTGACGTAGCAGACAAACTTTTTTAACCAAAAATATAATAAAATGTTCTTTAACATAACTAATTTTTCATATTTTTTAAAATAATACTGAAGTATCATCTTCAATATTAATGTGTAAAATCGTACTTATAATAATATCTTAAAAAATAAGAATGCTTATTAAAGGATTTGAACAAGTTTTCTTATAAATATACTACTTTTAGACTTTTCATTTATTATTATTATTATTATTTGTTATTATTTGATTAATGATTTTATCTTAAACTTAACTTTTATATAATTTTTAAATTTATTTTGCAATTTTATAAACAGTTTCCAAAGCTGATTTTGTTTATTTTCAGATTTAAAAGTTTTATTGATTTTCTTACAGTGCGTCAATAGTTGCGGATTGTAAGTCTGCCTTTGGGCGTGCAAGTTTACAATTGACTTTTAACGATACTACCCGCACTCACACTCACACACACATGCGCGTTCCGCAGGACCAAGTTGTGTGCGAATTTATGTGTTATCATTTATTGTGTCTTTTGTGTGAAAACGTGCGCCTGGCTCAGATAGACAGACGAACAGACGCAGATAAAGCCAGTCAGCCAACCAGCCACGCCCCAAAAAAGCCGCACCGCCCCCCAGCAGCTCCATTTTGTGATAATATGCTGCGCCTTTTGTTTTCACAGCAATAAAAATTGGTTGTAATTTAGTTTCCTCCCTGTTAGCGTGTGTGTGTGTGTGTGAGTTTATCTATCTGCAAATGTATCTGTATCTGTATCTGTTTGTGTGCTCTGTTGTGATTGATACGAAGCCTGTGGGAGAGCTTTGTTTGCTTTCCCTCGACCATCCTTCCCTCCGCATCCTTCGGATTCTGGTTCTGATTCGAATTCGACTTCGCTCTCCCTAGACTTCCAATTAACTTTCGTTGATGCGTGTTTCATTTAAATGCCATTTGCGGCTCAACTATTTGTATGGCATACTTTTGCGGCCAGTGGCAATTTGCATAGTCATAGGCCAATTATGGCCATCTACACACACACACAAACAATCACCCGTACGTGAGTCGCATAATTGCTTCATTTCGGCCAATTCCGAGCTAATGTTTAATGGATGATTGCATGTGGAAAACGACGGAATGCAGCGCAGAAGTCACATAAAAATTGCAAATACATTATTGATGATGTAAACAGCAGCTGCTGCTGTTGGGAAATAATTATTTCCAAGCTTGCAAATGAACTAGAATTTATATAATATCAAAAACAAGCCAAGTATCGTTTTAGTATCACCATTTTTAATAAATGTTAATGAGGTAATTTGTATTTATAATATAAATGCAAATTGCATATTGGCAATTTATTCGAATAAATAGCGCTGTTAAAAGGTTAAAAATAAAATGTAGTAAAAATATCGCTGTTTAAATCCAAAATGAAGAATTTTTTGTTGTTATTTACAAAGGAAATACGAAATTTTATGATGTGTATTTCTTTCACATTAATTAAAAATAGAAAATATGTTACCAAAAGCGGGATAAATTACGTACTTTTTTATAATACGATTTTGATAATAATTTGGATAGCAATACGGATGATTAAAAAGCAAAGCAGCCAAACTGTTGTAGGATCGGAATTTAACTTCCTTAAACAAGTACAAAAAAATATGTATATACCACTGACTTTTGAAATGAGTTCTATTCATTTTAGCAAAGCTAGTGCTGAGTTGAAAAATCTTGTGCCCCTTTTCAGCCCACTCTTTAGAAATATAATTTCTTGCCATTGCACATTGCAATTAGTCATACAAAATGCACTCGGTAACCCCATTCTCACTCCCATTTCAATGCTTTCATTGCAGCGCAGAGCAAGAATCTCGTCTTCGTCGCCAAGCTGAAGCAATTAACTGAAAATGTAGCAGGGAAAGAACATGGCCCAACTGGAACAGCAAATGCCATGCGATGCAACTAGCATAAACGTGAGTACGGAAAATCCAAGGAAATGCGAATGCGAATGCGAACGCGAATGGTGATGGCTTGGGAAAATGGGCGGGGAAATTAAAATGAAAATGGGGTCTGGTGTCGCGGCTAATTGCTCTGGGTCTGGGATCTTGGAGCAGGCCTTTGTGAGAGCCGGAGCATTTCATTTGCTTTCAATTTGGCGGCCATCTAATTGCTTGGCACTAATTTGGCGTCTCGCATTTCATTTGCAGTCCGACTGTCTGGATGTCTGAATGTCTGAATGTCCTTTCCAGCCATTATTAAAGTTCCTCCTTGGCAGCGGCCTCATTGTGTCCTACCCCATATCCTTTCCCCATCCATACCCCCTGCAGCACTAATCAACTGATATGAAATGCAGCTCAGGCTTGCCAAATAGCCGGAGGCCCTGGGCCCAAAAACTTATTGAATCGACAGCAAATAGATTCTTGGCACAAAAGAAATGGCCATGTTTGCCTGGCCCAAAAATGGTAATTTGATGGCGAGTGGCAAGTGCATCGATCGAAGTGCCAAAAACGAGATTGATTTATAGCCTACATCCCCGGATTATTCGATTGTGTAACGAGTGTTTGAGGAGCTCTTAATAATCATGGCCAATAGTTCTCCAGTTTGCACTCAATCAGCACAGCTTAAAGTTTGTTTGGGCCCTAAACTTTAGGGCTTCAAAATTCCAGGACCAAAGTTGCAGCGCCCTAAAATGTTAAGCTGAAATTTGATTTGATTTTTAATATCGTCGTGTCAGGTCCACAAAATCCCCTTACATATATGTATGTGCTCGTCCTGGCCAAATCAGTTTTACAACTTTTATGTGAATCCTTCACCTGCTTTATTGTTGTCGTTGTCGTTGCCTCCGAGGAGTATAAAAAGCCGTGTAACATTACCGGGGACAACGGCAAAATGGCAATGACAGCAGCAGCAAAAGCAACAACGTCAATAGTTAAACTCGAGCGGGCTCCGAAGTACAAGATTGTTAGCATGGCGCGCAGGACACAGCAGGAGCCAGGACAACGCCGAGCTGGGGCACAAAGGCAAACACAAGTGCACAACATTCTTCGGTGGCTGCACTGTGCGAAAAGTACAGCTGGGCTATATCAGGATTACTTGTATCGTTTTTTAATTTTTTTTCAAATGCAAACATATAAATAAGGATAATTACTTAAACAAATTTAAAATAGGGATTTTAAATCACTTTAAAATAAAATTTCAGGTGCCTAAAAGTATGCAGTAAATCCTGGAAAGCTGACTATCTGAATGAATTCATGGTACTTCTGTGCTCAAAATATATTGTTGCATACTTTTAGACACCTAAAAGTGGTTTCAAAGCCATAGTGATTCATGTGGCACCTCCGATAAATTCTTTATAAATAAAACGATTAATGAGTCAATATCAAACAATATCAGCATTGTCAGAACCACAAATGTGTTCAATTTAAATACATAAATAAAAAATAAAATAAATAACAGTCATTCAGGGCCCGCAAAGTATACCAAAGTAGGTTCTAAGCCGTGAGAACATTTAAAAATGAATTTGAGGAAACGGTTGTAAATTATAATGCGAATGATCAAGATTTATTTAAAACTAATTAAATTCTGATCATATTTAAAATCTGATAAGAACTAATGTTTTCAATTTCAAATTATAGTCATTCATAGTATACCAAAAGTAGCTTCTAGGCCGTGAGAACGTTATAAAACGGTTGTAAATATTATAATGCGAATGATCAGATTTATTTAAAACTAATTAAATTCTGATAGCATTGAAAATTTGATAAGAATTATTGTTTTCTTAGGGTTTTATTATTTAAATCAAATACTATTGAAAAGTATTTGATCTTTGAAAAGTTAGATGTCTGTTAATAGTGTCTTCTTAGATTTTTGATTTCTTCCGCTTAGGTTTGATTTTCTTTCGGTGTAGAGTCTGGTAAATGGGAACGAGTGGGTTGCCCGCTGGGCACCGTGTTAGCCAGAGGAATGAGGATGGCAAATGCGATGGCCTCGACTCCTGTGGCTCCTTTCAGATCCTTTTAGGTGACTGTGGCGATGGCTTTGCCGCTGCTGCTGCATCTGAAATGCGGGGAAATGATGCATTTAATCGAAACGGGGGTGGGGTGTGGGGTGAGGCTTGTGGGGGATGATAGGGGGCTAAGCAGTGACAAACGAGGGGGCGGCACCTGGGCGTGGTCGCTCCCATCACCCAGCGGAAGTCGACACAAAAGCAATGGCCGTCCTGCAGGCGTTGGCTTGTCTTAAGCGGGTAACGAGTCGGGGGCGTGGGAATGTCACCTGCTTTGCATGTGACACACGCCCCAACGTGCCATGGATACCTGAGCATTGCAGTTCGGCACACTGGGGAAAAATTAGGGGGATAACGTTGGGATTAAGCCCTCTTCGAACGAAGTATATATAAGTGTATTTATGTATTCCAATGCGGTGCTCTCTTCCAAAAACATCCTATAATTTTCTTTTATTTTTTTTAATGTTATGTTATTAAAATTTTATTGAAATAAACAAATTTTTCTTTGCTTTCCACACTTTACCAATAATTGTTAAGAAATCTATTAATTTGATTAGCTTGAATAACATTTCGTTTAAAAAGCTATAAGAGAAAGCTATTCTGTAATAGCTATAATAAGAGGCTTCTTATTTTATATATCTTCTGGGTTACCTTGTCTGTACGTTTTTCTCACACCTTTATTCCCAGTGTAGCCACAGTTCGAGCCAAGAAAGGTGCAGGCCTTTTTTGCTAGTGTTCCGGGATTCCCTTTCATATCGCATGGCACGTAAATTCGTAATAAATTTGAAATTATGTGCACATTTCGTGCCGCAGGCTGAAGGCCAAGCAATTTGCAACTTGCACTTTGATAATTTATGTTGCATCCGCCCAGGCAACGGTGGCCATAAGCATATATCACGTCTGCCAGGTCCTCTGTACCTCAGTTCCCCAGGACCTCCTCCCACCAGCTGGAGGGATCGCAGGATAACGTTGTCAACCCACCAGGAAGGGCGGGGGGATTTTTTTTCAATTTCACAAAGGACATGGTGTCAGGCGAGTGGATTGATTATGCCGACTGTCAAGGACCCAAGCACTCACACACACTCAGGCTTCAGTTTGGCTCTCAATTGGACGTATCCTGTCACACGCTCTGTCAGCTTGCCAAGGACGAAAATGAGGGGAATTGAGGGAAGGGGCAGGACCAGGGGGACCAGGGGCAGGGATTCATCGAGTATCATCGGCCGCTTTTTGCCCAATCGCCCGCACAAATTGACAAATTGACGGTCAGTGCGAGTGACGGCGTCTAATAACACTCATTACGGCTCCATTCATCATCCGAAACCGCATCCGAGTTCAGGCTGAATTGGAATCCATATTGCATGTGCAACTGACAGCTGCAATCGATATGCATTTCGCTTTTGATCCCCAAATTTGATTTGCTGATTGCCATCGCTCCAGGGGCTTCGTGGCAAACTTTTCATGTGTTTCATTAAGCTGACAATTAGCAAAGCAGCTGGGATCCAACACCTGAACAATTGCGGTCGTTACACTTGCAAACTTGTAAGCTAAAATGTAGTATTTAAATTGTGGCTAAAATATGACTAATTTATATTTTTTATGCTTTCCATTCCGTACAAATGTACTGGGAAATAACTTAAATGGTAAAAGACATATAACATTGTCATTATATTTTTTTTTAAAAAAATTATTTGTGATGGTCCTTTAAGATTATTGTTAGTACACAATATGCTAAAAGACTTATAACATTTGACATGTACTTTGTACTTTCAGGTTAATTTAAAGGTATCATAAAGCTGATATGGTTTTGATGGTCTACAAGATTTAATAAAATTTGGAATGACTTTAAACACTTTATGGACATTTGTTTATAGATTTTTGCTGGCTTTTCATGAATATTTTTTTAATTCATAATTAAAATTCACAGTAATACTACAGCTAAATGAAAGTCCCAAAATGATTATTATAGGTAGCAAGCCTAAAGATTTTCAATCGGACTGAGAAGGATGTTAGTAATGCATCCCGAGAGCCACGTTCCTTTTGAAAAATTAATTTTCCTGGTGTAACAATGAAATGGAGTCCACATGCCAATCAATTAGTTCAGCAGTTTGCTACCATGTCAGCGAGTTTGCACTGCAGTTCCACAGGCTCTGTTTTCTGCTTTCGGTGCTCTGCAGTGACAGTGCGATAAAAGTTGCACTCAAATTAAATGCGATTTGTTAAATGTTTGGGGGAAATGTTCGTTGCACTCCCCGCTCCCAAAGTTGATTCAATTTGCTGACTTGGCATTGGTTTCATGGGTCCAACTGCGGGTAATTGCATTGCCCAGGCGGCGAATCGAGTTCGGATCCGCCGGCCACTGCAGCATATGCATATTTCATTTGCAGTCAACTCCATCATGATTATTTCACCAGCAGGACCAAATGCAAAATACCCTCCTCGGCCACTTCCGCTCTTCCATTGATTTTTGCATTGATAAGGTTTGGCCGTTCGTTTTGTTTTTGTATGTTTCCAATCAATAATCGAAAAAGACAGGGTAGATTGTAAATATAATATATTCAATTACAATTACACAGAGATAGAAGCGCTTAATAAAATGTGAATTCGACCAAGGTTCCACAAAGTTAACAAATTATGTTCAAATTAAACACATTTTATATAGTGATATATGATATATATAATTATTTTAATGTGAATTGAAAGAACCTATGTATGTTAACTTATAGCAGTTTAATAACTATATTAACTCAAATGCTTCAAAATACAATAAAATATTTTAGATTATGGGTCTTATAACCAGATGTCTTATTATAAGTAATATCGGTTTTCAACAACCTCTGATTGGTTTTGAATTTTATACAAAACCAAAATTAGACTAGGCCTAAAAGTAACCAATTAAATATAGCTGGAAAACGCGCCGTCTACTCACAACAAAAGAAGTAATATTTTAAGCCATATACACTCAAAACAACTTTAAAGAAAATTTACCAATTTAATGGTTAAATGGTCCCATTGAATTACCTTTTTGACCAACAAAATAGTTGGTTCCCAACAACAAAATATATTTTACAAATGCAAATTCCATTTTACGTTAGCTCTCCTATTACTATTTACTAACCAAAGAAACAATTAACTACTCGTCACATTATTAAATAGTTGTTAACCATTTTTTGCAGTTACATAACTATCCGTATTGCTCAGTTATATCCTTTTTTTTGTGTAGTATGTGCGAAACTTTAATAATTTAAGCCTATCCAAATATTAAGCATTTGTTTGCTCTGGGTATTACAAAGACAGTAATAAAGACTATGCATTTTGTACTCGATTTGCTGTGCTGTTTGTTTGCCCGGCAACAACAGAGGCAATCGTAAACAATTTGATTTTGAGGCACATGGGAGGGGCGAATAGAGGGGGCGTGGCAGGTTGTTAGACTGGCAGTGCAGGAATTCTAATCGGATTTTGTTGCAGCTGCGGCTGCAGAGCAGAGCTGCCGGGGAAACAAAAGCTTTTGCCAGGAAATTGATATCGAAAGCAATTTGGCACCGCTGCCCTCTGCGGATGAGAGATACGGGGATTTGGATGGTAAGGGGGTGGATTATGGTCTACGGATGGATGGATGGAACCTTGGTTTTCGGGAGCGAGTAATTCAATTTCGGTTCGCTTTGGCCGCGGCACACGCTGCGTATGCGCAACTGCAGCGAGGCGTAATCTTTGGCACTTCAATTTGATCGCCGGGCATTTGCAGGGCCTTCGACATCCACAGTCCTGAGAGTCCTGCTGCCCCACATAGTGTAGTGTCCTGACGTTGATGAATATTGCTACAGCGATAAATTCAATTACAAGAGCCGAGTGGAGCCAAGTCGAGTGCTATAACTCAACTGACAGCGGCAGAACTCTTTGCCGCCTCCGCCACTTTATCCACTTGACTTGGCTCTTAAAGTGCTGCCACAAACTGAGACACGGACACGCACAGAAAATGCCAAAAAAATGTGGGGATGGGTGCTGGGAAAAGGGGAAAAATGGGAAACCATGGCAAGGAAAACAGTTAAAAGTAAACAAAAAATGGGGAGGCAGAACAACATAAAATAAATGTAATAAATTTTAAACATAGAGATGATAAATTGCTCTGGGACTCGACTCGAGGCGCTGCTGCCAATGGCAAAATGCCTTTGCGCGACTCTCGGCGCTTCGCTACATTTTTACAATTTGTTTGCGGCTTCGCCTGTCCCTCCTACCCTGCCACGCCCCCTTTCCCAACCGCCTCCCTTTTGGCACGTGTGTTTGGCATTTTTATCTATTTGGCAGCTGCTTTTGCTTGTCGTTGTTTAATTTAGTTTGCCCCGAAATTGATTTGCTGCAAAGTTACTTGCCGCTTGCCCCTTTTTTTCATTTTATTTGGTGTATATACTTTGCAATCTTTTTGACACGCCCACGCCTTCCGGAAAGTTTTTGAACTCCCAGGCGAAGTCGCATTAATGCTGCAGTTGCAAATGTTTTGCTCGTAACTTTTACTTAAGCGCTGCCAGCTGTTTGCCGGGCTCCTGCCAATGCAAAGTTCACTTAAGTCTGTCTGTCTGGGGGTCTTCCTGTTTTCCCGTCGTCCTGTCACCTTGTACTGAGTTCTCCACCGTCTTCTCTTTGCAGAAACTCAGAAGACTCCGTGATTAGGACGTGTTGTACCCTAACGCTCTAAATGCAGACGATATGGTGAGTTATCTTTCATTTTTAATTAAAGTTTCTAAGCTAGCTGAAGACCCCAAACCGCTGTTTAATGCATAAGAAACCTACCAAAATATATTCTGTTCAATTTCTCAACTTTCCTGAGCTTCAAATTTATAATTTGAAATATAAATAAAGAACAATTTTGAAACTATTTAAAAACTAAGGAAACCTACCAAGCCAACTTCTTTTTAATGCTTTTGCTTTTCAAATTTTTAACTTACTCAACTTTTGTGCGTTCTAATTTCAAATGTAAAACAACAATTTTAAAACTTGTCGGAAACCCTATAGAAACCAATCGAAACCAACTACGTTTAAATCTCTCAAGTTTCTTTAGACTCTATTTTCAATTTAAAATAACAATTTTGATGTAGTTAAAACCCTATGAAACCTACAAAACCAACTACTTTTAATAACGTGCGATTTTGAGTTCTTAAAATCTTAAAACATGCTCGAAGAGAAATACCAATTCCTGAGCTTTCAGAATTCTATTTTAATTTTAAAAGCTGAAACTTGCTTCAGACCCAGTAAAACCTACCAAACGAACTCCTTTTTAACTACTTACGATTCTTGAGTTCTTAGTTCTGAAAATCATATTTATCAAGTGCACAACTTCCGATTGGCAGCTCAACAAGTTAAGCCCGTCGGCTGATTAATGTACAATGCACATAAATACCAGCAGACACACCACTCCTAACCTTACACACCGACAGACGGTTGCATAAATCATGCATTACGCATACGCCGCATATGCCCCAACTATTAACAAGCGCATTGCGTATTCATGAAAGCATTTTGATGTGCTGAAGTGCACGTTGTTGCACAAGCACAGGCTCTTCTGTTCCGCAGAGGACGACAGGAATAGAGACAGAGATATAGAGCGACGAGCTAAGTTTTCTAATTAAAAACTACAAATAATTGTGACTCGTAATGAGCACACACATGGCGCACTTAAATCTTGTTGTGGGGCCCGCGAAAGCCAAATTTAAATTGCAATTTGTCACCGTGGTTGCTAGTTGCTGGTTGCCATGCACATGTGCAACATGCGACTACAAGGCTCTGTGTCCTGGCTAATTTCCATTCCGGCAACTGCCGCTGATGATCATCAGGATGATGAAGTTCCTTTGGCGAAGCAACTAAAGGCAAAGGCACGCCTGCATTTTATTTTCACAGAGAAATGCACAAAAACGCGTGGCAGCCTTTGTGGATGTTTTGCCACACACAAGCGACTTTAAAGCTTTAATTCAAACAGAATGTTAATCAACCAAGTGAATGCATATTGTTGCTCCCACCCACAAACATCAGAAATGTAAATGCCCCATTGCGGTATACATAAATGCATCTACATCTATATCATCTGTATCTGTATCTGTATCTGGAGTAGGGCTGCAGATACACAGATACAGAAGATTGCTAAATTTATGCCACCAACTTGCGGCGTTGAAGTGTAGAATGCTGCCGTTGCTATTTTTTTGTTTGTTTTTTTTTCTGTAGCATTTGAGATGCAGTGCTGATGATGATGCGCTGCTGTGGATGGCAACTTTTTGTGCTGCATCGAGCGCCATTTGTTTCAGCCACCAACCAGAATCCAGCATCCATTTGCTGGGCTTTCAGAGCCCTTGCCGAGGGTTTAATAACTATTTTGGAGTGTTTGCCACGCTCAGCGGATTGCTGTGGGTGGAAGGCATTAGAAGTAAACCCTGATGCAGCTGGGGCAAGTTTGTAAGACTCGGAAAGAGAAGTTCTGAAACAAAGTAAATGAATGCAAAAGGACATTTCCAAGCTGGGGGATTTTAAGCCCTTTTGTGCTGTCCCTAATTATTTAAGTTTGGTTTAAGTTAGTGTGTTTATATTAGAATAAACTTTAAAAAACTTAAACACTTAGTTAAAAAACAAGCTGATGGATTTATAACCTTTTATTTTATCCAAAATATAAAGTGTGACTTTAAATTTTAGTTAAAACTTGAGTATTTGAGTGGAAAATAATGTAAATTAATAAGAAAGGATATTTCAAGCTGGTGGTTGATAATTATAAGTTTGACTTTAGGTTTTTATTAGTGTTAATAACTACTATATTAATATGATTTCCAGAAAATCCTAAGTATTGAAATGATAACAAAATGAATAAAGTACCTTTTTTTGAACCTGTAGGGCATCAGGAAAACCCAAAGACAGTTTCGCTGTGGCCTCCCTTTTACTTGCTGCGTTTTCTCCACTTTTTGCCTCTTTGAAGTGGTTCCTGCGCTTTAGTCGCTTCTAATTGGCTCTGGCTGGCTTTTAATTTTCGCCGGCTTTATTATTTTCGCATTCGCTGCCTTTGAACGACGGGGAGGAGCACTCATTAAACCGCTGGCCAAGTGCACAATTAGCTGGGCCACAGATAGGGTCAAAGGGTATAGTGCCGCGATGCCAAACAAACTGACTAATTGCGAGAAAAACAGAAACAGGTCAGCCACAGCTGCAGGTGCAAACGAAAACGAAAAACAGGGCGCACATTTGAATAAACATTAGCGGCAACAAATTGCAATTTATTTGCATCGTTACAGTGGCTCCTGTGGCTATTACTTCTGACTGCAATTACCATTTTACAGTAGTGCCCGAGTGCAGCGAATAATTTCCAATTATGCGGCAGAGCCAGAAACATGGCAACATGCATTCGCAGCGTTGACAGCTCGGCAAAATTCTCGCTGCCGGAGTTGTCCTGCTAGCCTCAGCCTCCTTAATTATTCAGCAGGATACACACATGAGCTCACATCCTTTGCTGCCAGCTGCCCGGAATTAATGGATACAGCTGAAACGTAACAGAAAACACCACTCAGCCACCCCACCTGCCCCGCCCTACGCCTTCTGCCCCCCGACTTATGCTCCAAAAAAGAACTCCGGCACTCCAACACCCCGCATCACGACATTCACCTAGTTACGCATACGCCCTGATGACATTAGTGCAGCATTGCAGACAATTTTCGTTGGCTAAATGGGAAAGCCACCGACCAGCGGCCAGCAGAGGTCCGGTGGCCGACATTTGCCAAAAGGACGCACGCAAACATACACTGGAAAAAACACAGCTAAGGGAGCACATTAATCCATGAAATCCAAAAAAACGTACTAGCCTTTTGAAATTTCTGTCCTAATAATCCTTAAAAATCTCGTTAAATTTTTTCCAATCAGTTAGATTTAACTTTTCTAAAATAAAGTTGTAGATTTAAATATGTTTCTAAAAGCTAGCGGTATTTGTATTTACGACATATATATATACTTTACCAACAAAATTAAATCATACATAACTTTAATACAGGAAATTTAGTTAAGATTTTAAAAAGACTGCATTTAATATTTTAGTCTGAAAGTATAATGAAGAATGGGGACCATTTATTAACAAATTTAACTTTCAAGTAATTTTTTTCGAAATTTTTTTGACTTTAATAGGTTTTTTGTTAGGTTTGAAATTTATGTTAATTATAATTTAAATGTTATAACACTTAAAAGAGTATACAAGTGGATTATTTTACATTTTTTTTTTCTCTTTAATATGTGAAAATCAAAAACAAGTAACTCCTACCATTTATTTCGTAGAACAGAACAACAGAAATTCGAGAGAAAAACGGAGTATCCAAGTCTTTACTATAACATTATTTTTCTATAAAAAGTTCAATATTTTTTCTCTGTGCACTAACACACCATCACACATTCAGCAATAGACGTGTGTGCGTGCGTCGCAGTTTCACGTTGATTACGAGCACTTTATGGCTCCGTGCTACGTGTGGGCGTTGCTGTGTTGCTGTTGGATTGCTGGATGGTCGGATTGTCGGATCTGGCCGAGGACTGCCATAGACATGATGTCTATGCGTTCATTGTTGCAATTTTTACTTTATTATCAGCGTCTGTAATCACTACAACAACACTGCCAGAGAAGCCACCCTGACGAGGGGTTGAAGGGCGGCAAACTTGTTTCGGCGTCTGTTATTGCGGCCAAAAACATTTCGAGTGGCGAAAATTTGATAAATGCTGGGCCTGACCCGATGGGCGTGGCACTCGCCAAGGGTTTATCTAGTGTACTTGTAGGTTATTTATGATTATTCACATATTTTTATGGTTTGCAAATGAGGAATGAGTATGGCAGACATAGGCGTAGTTAGGTGGTTATTCAGAGGGATGAATAAATGAGAAACTTAGTTAATCTAGCCCAGTGTCAACAAAGAAATGTATATCAGGAAGGGCTAACTTTCAGTCAATTTCTTATCATTTCCTTGTTATGAGAGTCATTGTATGTATGTCGATGCAAGCTTTTTGGTTACATTTCAATAACAGCAAAGCTTTTCTGCTTATAATAACAGAAGGATTACGTTACCGTAGGTGTAACTTCTGGTTTGTTTGTAACTCTGCTAAAAGCTTTAAGGATGTAAGCTTTAGAATGCTTTTATTCTCTTACAAGTTTTACACATGGATGTAAAGCAAAAGCTCCATAGGGTATGCTATAAAATAGTATTGTGCCATAATACACGGCGTATACTTAATATTTAAAAACGAAGCTAAAACAAATTTACTATAAGATATATAAAACAAATGTTAAACATTATAGATGTATAGATAAAATAGAGATATATCATATCTTAAATATATATCTTATTACAATCGTTTAATATTACAAGGACTTCAATTTCCTTGCTTCTTTATCTCCTTTTAAATATAAATAAAACACACTACACCCTAGAATTCCTTGAAAAGCAAACATTTACAATGGAACCCTCCGTAAGAACCCCTTTAAATGGGAGTTGGGGACTTGGTAGCTTGTAAAAAAACTAAAAGGATTGCCCGTCGGCGTTAACCGAATGGGCGTGGCTTGCCTGTTGAAATTGATTAAAAAGACAAGCACCCAAATGCTTTGTGATGCTGTCCGTTTCCCTGTGGCGTGTAATCCTGCCAGCAACATAAAACAGCATCCGACGAATCGATAATCACAGTGATTGGATTATCAAAACTGTAAAACGGGCAACTTTCGTCCCTTTTGTCAATGGTCACTAGACTTATTGGTTTTTAGCAACTACTTCATGCCTTTGTTGCCTTTTCAAATCTCATTTCAGGGCACAACATGGCCTCAGCACAGATACGACATTTCTATAACACACCAACAACAATTTCTTCAACGACAACAACACGACAACCTTTACAACAGCAACAACAACAACAACAACAGCAGCACACGAACAACTGCAACAGCAAACGGAGGCAATTTCAAAGCGATACGTTTCTGTGCCACACACAAACACAAAGCGAATCGGAGGCAACAGCAGCAACAGCAGCAACATTATGCCAGTCAGCACTTGCGGCAGCAGCAACACCAGGAGCAGCAGCAACAGCAGCAACAGGAGCAACATCAGCAACAGGAGCAGCAGCAACAGCAACAGATGATGTACCAACCAGCGAATCCTGGACCACAGATGAGATCTCTGCCAGCAACAGAAACACCCAGCACAGGATGCGATATCCTTTGGCCGGCAGTGCTGCAACCTGCGATGTTGCTGTTGCTGTTCAACCTGCTGCTGCCCCGCAGCAACACCAGCAATGCCTGGCCAATCCTGCTGCTTCTTTGGCCACTTCTACAGGGACTTCGGAGCAGGATCGCCTCGCCACGAGCACTTGCCTATCACGCCTATCTTCCAAAGTCAGTCAGGACTCTACGAAACCACAACGAAAGCCCCTTCAACACGGCTCTTCAACTTCGACGACTCCGGCAGTCGGCATCCTCACGGATGTGCAAAAGTTTGCACGCTCTATATTTCCGCTGGTTATCATCTTTAATCTGCTGCCTTTATTCTATGCAGGTAAGTGACGCCTCTCAATTGAATAATATTTATTAATATTAATTAAACGGCTGAAGAGGTCAATTGTTGTGCTTCGTGTATTGTTTCAATTTATGAAGTGAGGCTTATCATTATTTCACAGAATTGTATAAGGTCATTTAAATGAAATTACAGAAAGTGTTTCTTTGGTATACTAAAATTAATCTGCCCAGGGATTTCTTTAATATCTGTGCATCTATTTAAAATTGAACTAAAAACCAAGCAAAAAATTTTAAAATATAGAATTTTTATATTTTATTTTTATTTTATTTCATTTTATTTTAAAACTTCTTTAAACTTTTAACTAGTTTAACAAAGTTACAATTAAACCGCAAAAAATTCTATAAGTGCAGCATGAACCTCAACTTTTGCGAAAGTTTTTCCTTCTCAATTTCCATGCTGAACTATTTTAAAACAAAACAGTTTTCCTTGGTTCTAATTGCCAAGTCTCGAGTGACCACTAGCAAAGTTTTAACCAGAGAGTTCACTGTAGCCGCTTTGGGTTGCTAAATAAATAATCGAAACTGTCGAAGAACATTTGCAAATCTGGCCAAACAACAACTGAGCTCATTATTTATGTACGGAGCCAAATATGTATTGACTGCCAAAGGCAATGGAAAAAATTTAATGACCGACGAAAGTGAGCGTCGCCGGCAGGAAGGAAGCAATCCCCCGCCCTCCGGAACCCAGTTTTCCTCTTTCAATTTTTTGCTTTTTTATTTTTTCAAACTCTTTGTGTGACATTTTTATTTTTTACATTCGGGCTGCTCATTTTTCAGAGCACGCACAAAGGCAAAATTTTAACAAAGTTGGGGTCAAGCGAGGCTGAGGCCTAGAAAACAATGCGCGGGTGGGTCTTAATTGCTTGCCAAGAGCAAAAAACAATAACAGCAGACCCTTTTCCGAGGGAAACTCTGACTGCAAACTTATTAATTAAACGCGCTCATAATTATTTAAGACAAGCTGGCGGCTGGGCAAATTCAATTTGTGATCATTGCGCGATAACCAGAAAACTCCGAGGGGGCAAGCGCCCCGTTCAGCTGCCTAATGTGGCAGAAGCGAAGGCAAACAAAGCGGTGCCATTTCAAAAGAAATCAATGACAATTCGTTAAAGGTCCCCCAGCAGCCCCCCAATTTTCCGCCCCATCCCCAGGACACTTGCCTCCATCATCATCGACATTCGAGCAGCGATTAAAGACAATTGAAGCCGCAGATGCAGGCAGCAGAAGTCTGCCTTCTTATCAGTGCTCTCTGGCTTTTCCCCTAACTCTCTCTGGATTTTCCGCTCGGAAAAGCTCGCGACTGCGCTGTAGGTTTTCCGATGTTATCATTTTGCGAAAGTACTACGCTTATCAGTTGGCCAGCGAATGTTTGCTGGGTTATCCTTAGCCTTTGTTTGGCCCAAATAAATCGCTGACTTGGCCAGCAATAATGGCGGGAAATGGGGGAAAAGGAGCAGGGAAAGTCCAAGACGCCAGTGCCCCAGGCACAGGTCAATGTATCTGTGATTCGACACCCATTTATCTTGGGCAACGTCTTCCCTTTTTTTTTCTGCCCAGCCTAATGAGATTTTCGCCAAATTAAATGAAATCGAAAATTAAGCGCGCCGAGAGTTTGCTGGCAATTTAAATTGAAGCCTTGGAAAGGCGGCAATTATCCACACAAAGGGGCCAGCATAATGAGCGGAAGCCGAACTCAAGCAAGATGCTCACCTGTCGGCTTTGGTTGCCACCTGAAATCTGCCACCTGCCAGCTGTCTCGAGTGGCGGCTTTGGATGGGCGATTAAAGTGCTCGTCGGCCACTCGAACAAACAGAATCGACGAAATGAAATCCCGGGGCAAACAACTTCAAGGAGCAGCTCGAGGAAATATCTTGGGGGAAAATCTGGTGGAAAAGGCAGAAAAGAAGTGCACAAGAACGAAATCATAAATTCAATTTGATTTATTTCATTTGTGTAGTATTGGCGGACCGCCTCAAGATTCAAATGGTGGTGAGCTTTCACTTGAAGTCATCGCAGACTGCTCTCTCTCTCTCGCTTTTCCGACTTTTCCGCCTTTCTCTCGCTGCCTTTTAAATGCCGTGGCAGCTGCCGAATGTGTTCAGTCGATTTCTGTCGGCCGTGCGGCAAACACGCAGCTCGCTTTTCAGCCAATTCAACCAGCTCCAGAATCAGCTTACAGCTTTCCACCAGCCTTTCAACATCGCGTCATCAATCGCATCGTGCGACAGGACCCTCGAACAGTTTTCCCAGCAACGCGCGCACTTTTCCCGCTTCGGACCTCCGGTTTATGGTCTTCTGTACTCCGCCTTATCGCTTTACTTTGCATATTTGTATTTGCTTAACCATTCCGTTTCGGTGTCAAAACGATATATAATAAATCCCGGCGATAAGAAGCTGCCTGCCGAACGGAGAGCTTAACGCAGAATTGTTCAACACAAAAGTGAATTACAAATCAATTGAGAAAGCCCTCGGCTGCGAGACGTAAATATTCAAATGGAACTTGATTTACATATTCTTTTGAAATTGCCCTGGCTGTGGTGCACCATTGAGATATTTGGGTCTTTAAGATAATGTGGAGTGTGGTATTTATGGTGATCGATTGGGGTGACAAGGGGTTGGGCAGATCCTTACAAGAACCAGCTGCCAGAACTAAAATAGCACACAGAGAATTCTAACGTTCTAATTCGAGTTCAGAATGCTCTTAGAAACGAAATTTTTTGAGATGAAAATGTTTTTATTGTGCTAAAATCAAGATGGTATTTACATTGTATTCTCAACAACTAAACTTAAACTTTTCTCTTCTCACCATTTCGCTTCGATGTTGAGATAACTAATACCGAAATGTACTTACACGGTTTTTAAGAACGAATGTCCTCAAATCAAGAACAATGTACTTGTATGTTTCTCTCTGTGAACTAACAAAATCTCTTCCAAATTTAAAACAATACACTTAAATCCTAAAAGAACTAACAATGGTTGGTTATTTAAAACAAATATTATCTGTAATCTGTAAACAATTTAGTTCTTAAACATTTGTATTAACTTATTTATTTTCATACTGTTTGCTTAATGTTAAAACTAAAGCAACAGGGGTTGGCAGCCAAGTGGCTTTTTCTATTTAATGATACATATACGTTTTAGAGTTTATAAATGTCAATCTATATTACTGACTCAGTTTCTTAGGGATCGTCAATAACAGCCAAACATACAATTATTCTCATTTCATACCAGAGCATATTATTTGCATTGGGTGAATGTGCGTTAGATGAACTCACGTTTCAGTGAACTCCTAATTCAAAAGCAACCTTACAAATGCGTTATTGGTTCACATGCACAAAAGATACATATATCAGTAGGTATATTCCTAATCGTTAACCCTGAGTGCTTTCCTTGGAACGTCCTTACACAGGACAGCATTCTGGCCAACGAAAGGTTACAAAACGAAATTGGAGGCAGGCAATTGTTGAGGGATTTACAACGGGGTGGCCCTCGTATTGTTTGCAATGCAGCAATAAAATCCCACACATTGGATAAATCCGGAAAAGGGGGACGAAAAGCGGAGTTGGCGATAGAAACGTGTCCACGGCAGTTATGACAACTTGTCCGGGATCTCACCTCTTCGCCAGCTGCTTAATTGGAGTCAGTGTCTGGCGAACTTTCCAATTTCCGTTCTTGAAACGCCTGCCATTGACAAGTGACAACTTTGATTTGGAAAAGGCTAAACCCATTGCTCATCTTTTAATTTGGTATCATTTTTAATCTGAAAGACTGTAAGCTGAAAATTGATGTTAGATGCATTCACAACGACATTGATACAACGCCCAATGAAATAACGCTCAGTGAAATAACGCCCATGTTTAGTTAAATAAAATAGTTCTTGTTTTTTTCACTTCCATGGTCTTTTTTCACTGGTAATTTTTGTATTTACTACAAAAAAATTGCATTTATGAACTACAATTAAAGCTACAGTTCCTTAAAAAATAACTCGGAAATTCAATGTTTAGGTTAACTCTCTTTTTTAAAATACCAATATTTTTCATTTTGAAATTACAAATATCTATTCACAGTTTGAAATTCTGTGCACGTTTTATTTTGAACTAAATTATAATAGTTTTTCCACCCTTGTAGTATTTCTTTAATTTATCTTAACGAACATTTCATTTCAATGATTTATTTCTGATCACGTTTCACTATAAGCGAGCGGAAAAATAGGAATGTATACTTTCCATAAATGTAAAATAGTTATTCAATCCGAATACTTATTTGTAATAGGCTTAACAATATTTGTATCTTATCTAAAAACACGTAGGATTGTGTATATTTGACAAAGATTATTTTAAAAGGTGATACAAATTCGTTGTGAGTTTTTCAATCTTACTGATAGACAGTTTATCACTAATCCAAATTGCGTGAAGTCCAACTTGTATTGCCATTCCCAAGGAGATTAAGCACTTTTTCCAAAAAAAAAGGAGATTAAACTTGCAATTTGCATGCAGTTCGGCAATCGCTGCGAAATTGAAACGTGCCAAATGTGCAAACAGAGAGTCGCAATCGTTTTTCACTCTGTTTGAGTAGCCAACCAGGTGATAAGCAAACATAACCCGACGGGGTCTACATGGAAAAATCCAGCGGAAAACTCAACCCCTTTTTCCAGCCGAGACATTGCCACTAAATCAAGCCACTGCCGCCAGGTAATAGAGAGATAAAATTTGCTACGTGTGGAAAATGTTGGAGAAAAAAGAGTTGCGAGCTACTTTGCAAATAATGTAGCCAGCCACTCGAGTGTTTAGGACCCTCACGCATAAATTATTTATTCATTTGCCGTCGCCGGGTTTTTATATGCATCGTTAAAATTTCTGTGGGGATCTCAAAGTGAATTTCGGGACGGGAGTCGGCACCTTTGATGCCCCGCCCCCCTTAAATCGGAAATGGGGTTTTTACTTTGGCTATTTTATAATGGGCTGCACTGGCTTCTCTTCCAGGCTGCTAAATCGCAGCTCACACGGTTTTCCTTTGCTCCTTTGTTGGGACTTCGTTTTTTGCCAACGATTTTCCCGCCCGCTGCTTCCGAGGAAAACTATGTGAAAAGTGGGCGATGGGCGTGGTCGTTTTCCACTGAAAGTGTTTATTTATTTCTGTTTGTTTTAGCAATCCCAAAAAGGATTTCTTTGCTTTCTCTGTTTGTTCCGTTTCCGGTTTTTACTATTTTCCAGCGAAAATTATAATAATAATACCCCATGGCTGCGGGCCAACGGTGCGTATGAGCCACGTATTTTGAAAACCCCTTTTTTATTCCGAAACTAATTAGCGCCCTGTGCCGAGTGCTTGTTGTTTTGAAGGCTTTCTGCAGCAGCCGCGTGTCCACGTCATGTGATATGAGCTGGGAAAATATTGTTAGAAAAATGCTGCAACTTTTTCATTACATCAACTTGACGGCTGGGGCCGCCGAGTGAAAACTTTTTAGCAGCCAGCAGGAGCAGTCGGAAAAGCGAGGGAAAAGTGGGGCTTCGCCAGCTGTGGATGCTGTTTCTTTAATTTGTATTTAGTTAGCGGACGATGCTAATGAGTTTGCTGATTAAAAAGGGACCGTATTTTGATGTCCCACCTCGGGAATTAAATTTGTACATGGTCTGCGGACCTTAAGACTTTATTAGCAGGTCATAACTTATGCAATAAACAATATTCGCAAACCTTTTAGCTGGTCTCCCACCCCGCCAAAAGCTAAGGAAAACTGATAGAAACCAGCTAAGCCAATCAATTACGGGAGTAGTTCGCAAAGTTGAAGTCATACTCACTTAGCTGCAGCCGGTCCATCAATCTTCTAATCAATCTGGATGGGCCAAATAGCAAATAGCCAGCTAAAGTTTCCCCCCTGCATTATGAATTTATGGGCCGTGGGTGGGCCAAGCGAAAACTATGCCGATTTCAATAAAAATCATTAACCGAGCACTCAAAGAGCGATTCGATTGAGTTTCTTTGCGGGTTGGCAGAACTTTCCGATACATTAAATATGAATGAAATGCCACGGTAATTAAGCTAAACACAGAGAAAACAGAAAGATAAACAAACCGCAAATGGTCATAAAATGCGATGAGGTGGCGCCATCGAAATGAACTTCTTTGGCCAAACACATTTCCAATCGAATTATAAATAAACAGAGGCTGCCAGAGGAAAATAAACCCCAACAGGAAGCCAATTCAAATGGGCCGAGTCAGCACTGTTCGCGAATTCCTAATTCCTAATGGCATTGCCAAAACAGGCCTTATGGCTGATTACCCAATTTAAATTTTGAAATATTTCCGGGTATCTTAATTTCAGGTTGCTTAGCGCGAAATATTTCGTTTTCAATGTAATGTTTTGCCTACAAATTTGCATTGTTTCCCTATCTACATCTATGGGAAATGAATTCACTTAGTGAAAAAGATGAGGGTTTAAGGCGGGAATTTCATTAATCTTTGTCGCACGTTCCCTGGCATATTAAAATATCTCCTTTGTGAGACGTGAATGTATATAAAACGAGACAAACGGGAGTCGAGCATCTTTGTGTAAGCTTTAAAAATCTCCCCCATAAAAGCCAACGTGGAACATGCAACAAGCTGGGTCAGGAAGCGGGCCAAAAGAAGGCCACACCCACTGGGTACTGTGTCGAGGTTACACCCACACTCTTACTGGCTCACACACACACTCAGGCTCACACACACACACGCCTGCATGCTAGTACAAATCCACCATTCATGGTAACACAATGAGGCCCAGACGCTTGTCCAAGGAACTAAGACAAAGGATACACAGAAATCAAGTTTAAGTGCAGTTGAAGGCGGAAACGTGAGCCTCACACGGACACCGGGAGAAACCTTAGGATCGTATAACTTATACGAATAGGGACAACAAATCCTAGATTTTTATTTCGATTTGTTTCAATTTGTACAACAGAAGATGGCCTAATCCAATTGTAAGCCAATATCAATGTCTTTAACATTGATTGATAAAATGTATTTTTACTAAAAGTATAGTCATGTATAACAAGATACATTTCTAGAACAAACACATCCATTATTATTTGACTGTTGTGATTAAAACTGACTTTTAAAGGTTGAATTGTTTCTAGAGAACATCCCACCATTGCAATCCCTTTGACATAAATAGCTCGCTCATAAATGACAATTAATGGCCTTAAAAATAAATTGAAAAATTAAATATACCACTAAAAAACATGATTGATGGACAACAAAAATAATTTCAATTTAATTTATTAAAACCGAACATATAAAGAGCAATTTTTAATTGTTTTTTTTCGAATGTTGTTATTATAAATAATTGCAATGATTAATAGGTGTCAGGATAATATTTGTGTAGGCTATTAAACAACATATTTTATCCGCTTCGAAATGGTCGGAGCTTCGCGCTTATAAATCAGAGCAGTTGGCTGGCAGTTGCCAAGTGACGCCCAAACAAGTGCAATTATTTTAATGCACTTTTGACTTCTGACATCGCAAGACAGCCCAGCCACACGGCGACAGCCTTAAAGCACTGCTCGAGCATTTATGCGGCTATTGTCCTGGCCCACACAAATACACTGAGAACACACTCGTGGCACACAGTGGGCCACAAAGACAGTCGCACAATCGCACGGCGAGGACTCCTTGAGTCGGTCGCTTTTGCCAAGGTCGCGCCGTGCAGTTGAACTTGACAAAGGATAAGGGATTCGCTCGGCTTTAATTCTGCATGCAATTTCATAAACGTTTTCCTCCTCTCGACCCGTGCAATTTTCCATAATTTTTGTGGGCCTAACGTTAACCCTTCAACGATTCGCTGGCGAAACAAATTGAATTTATGTGCCAGCGCACACGAGAGCACGCAGAAATGTTGCCAACGTCACTGGCAGGCGACGCTGGGCGATGGGCGATGCCTACGCACTCCAGGGGGTGCTTTCACCCCCACCCCCACCACCCCTTTCACCAGCCACGTCATGGCCCATTTGTTCTATGACCTCTCACCCTCTGCTCGGGCTTTCCCTTTGCCAGCATAAACAAATTTTGCAAATGTGCGCATAAAACTTACGAAATTGCAAAAATTTATTTTATTTCACATTTGTGTGGCAGTGACAAGCGCCTTTCCTCGGCATTTCCTTTGTTTTCTTGGCTGATATGAGGGCCAGGATACTGGGCTGTCATCTTGGCCTCCGCCGTTTATCTGTGTTTGTGGCTCGTCGCCTTCTGGCGCTAATTTAATTAAGACTCATAGACAAAGAAGCCAGACGGACGGACCAAAACAAAACACACAATATGTGTCAGTGCAATGTGTTGTAAATCTTTTCAAGGGACTCCGTCGACTCTGGCGCCCACGAATATTCAGGAATATTTGGGCAAAAAGCTGACAATAAACAAATACAAAATATATATCATTTCGGGCTTTTATCGTCGGCCATAAAACACAAGCGCAGGCAATTGAGCCAAGTACTGGGCCACGTTGCGCATACGACACGTTGGCCGGGTGGCGGCTGCATTTCATTTAATTTTATGCCTGCCGCTTGGCAAACATAATTTGATTGATGTGCCCGCGGCTTACATGTGTAAGCCAAAAATAAACTGATAAATTGACTTATTACAACATAATTCGCCTGTAGGAATTTTAAGTTTTTGATAACTGGCCAAGTTTTTTTTGGGCCAAATTACAGGTACCTTATGTATGTGGAAAAAAGGCAGACAGGAAAGCATAATTTATGCAGGTTTTTTGGGGTGAGAAAGGCCAGCGTTTCATTAATATTAATTGACCAATTCAAAGGGACAGCCACAAAGAGCAATTGAGTCACGAAAACGGCCAAAAGCCAGTTAGTTCCAGGCTTACTTAGAGCTTTTTAAACGCACTCCCGGCCAAAAGACAAATGGGCCCAAATGAGTAAAAAATAAATATGTAAATAGCCAAGCCTTTTGTAAAAGAATTCGCTCAGCGGGGAAGCCACTAAGTGCGACGAAATCAAATGGAAAAATGGAAAGTGCCACAAACATTGACAGGACCTGCTTTTGATGGCCAAGAAGGGCAAATTATTTGCGTGAGCGGCTTAATTAAAAGGCTGTTTTACAGAAACTGGACCCCAAAGTGCTAGTTTAAGCCATTTCCCTTTGCCCTTAAGCTCTCTGAATTCGTTGTCCCTTTGGCCCTGTGAATTCAATTCGTGTTGCCATTGATAACGACTGACAGCAGCTGTGGCCATTTGGGTCTGCATTAGTTTTTATACTCGATTCCGTTCACCTTCCATTTGGCCCTGCAAAAAACTTATCAAAAGTGGTTGTTGGCCGTCTGGTTCCTGTTTTGGCCAGCCATGTCAGCGCCGTTTCAATGGTTTTAGCCATTTTCACTTTTGCAAAAAAGAAGACGGCGAACAAGTGACATTTTTTGATGCTTTCATACTCTTTTAACGGGGTTCGATATTTCGATTTGCTCGAACGCTCAGGGACCGGAATAACATATTGAGACTTTTTTTTAAAAAACTTTTCAGATTTTTATTTTTAAACGTCAAAATAGCAAATGTTTTTTTCTATCTACAAACTAAAAAAAAATCCATAAAAATCGGTCAGTTGGGATAACAACGGTATAAAAATCACAACAGGTCTGTCAAAATAAAAGTAAATAAGGGGGAAAATATTATTTGCAAGCTGCTAAAGTGTACCCTAATATATTTCTCATTTATTTAAACAAACCCAGAAAATACTAAGTTAGATAATTTATAATTTAATATTAAATTATAATTGATTAAATAAAACAGCATCTTGAATTTGTATATTAAGTTAGTTTTGGAAACTAATCTATGATGATTTCGGTTCAATGATGATTTTCCTTTTCAAAAGAGCATTTAATATTCATCAACCGCAGACAAACCTTCACCCAATCAATTCGATATTATTTTTATGTTTTATTTTCACTTTTCAATGAATCGAATGGATGGCTTGTCAAGTTCTGTTTCGATGTAATTGAATTTAACACCCCCCTTGGACCTCACACTGCAGCGGTAATTAAGTATACGTGTCGTGTGCCCGGCTGCCTTGTCAGGACTCATAATGCACTGGCAATAATTGTCAGGACGGCGGGAGAAGAGCAGCACAGTGAAGCTCAGCAGCTATTAGACAGGATAATAGACACTTGAAATTGCATTCAGCTGATGGGAAGTGCAAGGACCCACTCTCCGGCCGGACAGCATTAATCATGTGTCAGTGGCAGACAAAGGACTGCCCTTATGGGTTGTGATTTTTGGCCAAATTCCCAATCGACTGGGACAGGGACACTCTTGATGAAGTGCGTGGGTGAAATAAGAGGGGGTATCATGTGCCACATCACACATACGCACTGGAGGCGACAAGTTTTGGGCTGTCCACAGGCTGTCGGGCATTTCATGCACAGTCGAGCGTCTGATAGGCAGCCCTCGCAATTTATGGCAGGCAATTTGTATCTGTGGGTGGCTATAGGTGGTTTTGGCATTTGTCAGTGCCAGTCGGAGGAGTCGGGGGATTTATGACAAGTGATGGCCCAGTGGATCGACCGATAATCTCAACTGTGCCCAGCCAGGCAATCTCAATCGCACTCACTGCCAATATGCAAATTCCCACTTCGTTTCATTCTCTCCCAAACAAAAAAAATATAGATAGAGCCGGCATCGACTCCATTCCGAAAGTGAGCCACTAAGGGAGCAAACAGTCCCCGCATGAGTAACAGCGCCATGGTGGCCGTGGCCATCTGCTGCATCCTCGTCCTGCTGGCCGTCTTCATCGTGATCATCATAGTCGTTGGCCAGACCATCGAGGAGCCCAAATGAGACATGCTCCAGCTGGGACCTGGCAACTTCCCAGATGGATAACAGAGGCCCCCCCCAAATTGTTAGTTTGCTGGGGCCGCCAGCAAAACATCGTTGCCACCTCATCAGCATCTGCAAAATCATCAGAACCAGAATCAAAATCAGCATCATTTCCAACGGCAGAAAATTAGCAGAGGAAACAGAGGGTTCAGGAGTGGAGGAAATGCGTCCCATCGTCAGTATCCATTGGCTGTGATGTGAAATTTTTAGAATTTGTGAAGCAAAAATCAATCGAGAAATCAACCCAACACAAAAGGAGCTACTCTACATCTTTTGAACATTCCGCATCCTGTGGAACACACATCTTCATTTAGCATTTCTCTGTGTGCGTGTGTTAAGTGTTGTTAATATAAATGTATATATTATATAGACACACAATCTATGAATACAACAAATATATAGATATCTAGACAGACTTACGTACTTATATATGGATATATATGTGTAACCCAACCGTCGTAACGTTGCGTTCTTTTTTATAAAAGTGTTGTTAACAAACCGATTTTTATTGATGTTTTATTGATGTTGAATACAACGTATATACATGCATACACACACGAAAGTGGAATAAGTTTACATTAAAAGTCCAGCGATGTCAAAATTGAAGAGCGGAAATCCCTAGAAAAAATCAAGGAAGCGGAAGTAGAAGGATCAGGACAATAGGGATTGTAACTGGAGAGCTCAATTGTTTATTATACCGTAAGATCATATCAAGTGGGAATGATGCCAGCAATTGCACTTGTTAATTGCACAGCGAATGGGATTCAGCCGGAACTGGTGGATAGATATACCTAATTATAAACGGGAGATATGAATTATATAGCGGAGATATGCATTTTATATATCAAACAAAACAACTTTTGGATAAGTTTTACGTGTACGTGTACCTAGAAGTAGCCAAATCTCGTTTATACAACATAAGCTGTTATCAACTATGGAACTTACTCACTTAAAATCAATTGGAAAATTATACTTGAAAGCCCCATAAAACCCAATTAAATCAATTCAACGCAAAACGTACGTGCGCTGTAAACGATATTAAAAAAAATCCTTCCACTCCATTCAACTCAATTCAATTTTAATCAATGCAAATGCCAGACTCTGCAAACACAATATTCAACAAATGATCAACGCGCTGCGCATAAATTAATATATTAATTAAATATAAACATCAACAACAATGGCCAGTGTCAGAAAAATGGGAGAAAGGTAAGCCGAGCATTAACATATTGATGAAATAAAGAATGACTTTTTGCGGAATTTTCCACAGCCAAAGAGTTCTCAGCAGATTTAATTTGAATACTCAAGGACCACTTGAGGTTTGTAGTCACCTATCTGCTGCTGCGAGGGTGGGCAATAATGTTTCATTGCTGCGGAGGAGGCTGTCAATTTGATTAAAATTGATATGCCCAGTTTCTTGGGCAACTGCAGTCTATACTATAGTTGGGATCCCTTCCCTGGGGCTTGGGCAAATAAAGCGTAGGAAACTCCAGGATGCCAAACAAAAAGTCAACTTGATGAATATTTCCACCTCAGTCCGCATCAAGTAATCATAAAGTGATGGAAATTCAATTTACACAGCATTAAATATGGCAAAAATGGGGAAACTTGGGTGTACAGATGGGGGTGGTGGTGGCAATTTATGTGTGTTTTCATGTTTTACGTTTGTGTGGTTTATTATTATGCAGATTAGGGCAAGTTCCACCTTTACCTTTTGGCTTCATCCGACTTTACCCACTTGATTCTCGTGTGTCTGGGTGTGCATAAAAAGCCGCCCCCGAGCAGCTTGAACACGCCTCCTCCGCCTGTGCCTCCCCCCTGCTCCACCTCTGCCGCCCCCTTTTCCATATGCAAATTACGTTTCATTTTGAATTTCTGCTACCTTTTTGCCAGGAATGGCAGCACATACACACACTTTATGGCCATTCAATGCCTTGGCCAAATTGAAGCTGACGGCAAATGTCACGTTTTATGACTGCGTTTGCATATCAACAGATCCAGGAGTGTGTGCGAGTGTATTTGAGGACACTTGAGCTGCATCCGCTCCTCGAAACACTCTCTATCTGGCCCCTCACTTAGTCAGCATTATGCAAATGTCGCGCTCCTTCCAATTTCAATTTGTTTGTTTATGAATTGCCATTGCTGCTAACACAAATTAATTGCCCAATTGCATGGGCTGGCATTTGTGGGCGGGGCTCGGTAGCGCGGGAGCGAATCTCAATCGGAATCTGAATCCAAGTCTGAATTCAAATCCAAATCCGACAGTGCGCAAAAGCAATTATCCGAAGGAAATTGCTCAATTAGAAAGTCGAAATCGAAAGCCCAACTGAAACACACAAGAAGTGGGAAAACAGAGGCAACTAAACGACAACATATTTAAGTAGGACAACTACACAAGGAATAAATGTTTAAGTGAGATAACTACAAAAAAACAAATTTGATTTACATTCAAACCAATATTAAAAAAATTATTTTAAAGATAAATGGAAAACAACATATGAAAATATCTAGGTAACAAAATTATGATGTTAAACTCGTTAAGAACGATAAATATATGGTGATATCCATGTTAAATGCAATTTGTATTTTCTTTTTGAAAGAAAAGTGGTAAACAAAATCTTAAGAAATTAAAGTAACAGATAGCACATTAAATTCGTCTTGAAAGATACATAAGAAAATCAATTTTCATGTTTATTGAAAGAAAAATCTTTAACGCAGCTTAAAATACCAAATTCGTTCTGGAAGATCAAAATTTAAAGAAAGCCATATTAAAATGCAATTTTTATGTTTTTTTCCTGGAACCATTTCCTTTTTCGATAAGTAAAACTATCTTTTTATTCGCCTACATTTGCATGATGAACGCCTCACAATGGCAGCCAGATAGCTCCAAGAATTGCAGTCGGCAGCCAGCGATGTGTAAAGCGCAGATAGAAGATGTCCAGCTAATGTTGGCAATATTAGGGAACAAGGAAGGTCCTGTCCAAGGACGGGGTCTAAACGGGAGGGAGGGAAATAAACTGCTGCCTAATGACTCGAAATTTAATGCAGTTTTGTGAAATGTAGCAAAACCAATTGGCCGACTTGTTCTTCGGGGGAGGATTTTCGCACAAGTCATGGCCGAAAAGTGGACTGGAAAAACGGCGCTGAGTCAACTGTCAATTAATCAATTTAGCCAGCCCTCAAGCTGACTAGGCCATCAATTTAATGTCGGCACGTTAGGAACACACACCGAACCGTTGCCAGCGTGTAACAAATGTTTAGGTTTTTAAAACCAAATTACAAGCGTGGAAAATGATTCGACAGCAAACAGAGATTTGGCACACAAACACACAATGGGCATATTTTTCATCTGTGGCATATTCCAGATGTAGCTACTTCTTGCAGCTCCTGTTCATGATGTTTTCGTTATTCTTTTGGCCGTTTAGCTACGCATTCTAGTGCCGCCAGTGAGTCGGGCTCAGATTTATGGCCATTTATTGAGCATAAGTGTTGGCAATTTATGAACCAGCCGCGCCCATTTCCCCCACTCTAAAATGTTATTTTAATAAGCGACTAAGAAGGCAGAGCTTCTGTGTGTGTGTCTTTGTGCTGAAATGAAGATTTATAAACAGCCCCGAGCAGTTTCAACTCCCGAAAGTCGGTTTCAGGTCCTGATTCGGGTTCAACACACCCATAAATCTCCCACAGAATCTTGTTTAGTTTATTGAATTATCAACGGGCGGATGTGTGGGTGGGTTTGACATTGTCTGACATAAAACTAAAGGAAATATCAAACACGTGCGCCAGTCACAGGGCACTTATGTAAATACATTTCCCTCCCCTCCCCCGACAGCGTTTATATTTATAGTTTTATTTGTCTAAGGTTTGCTGGAGCGGCATTAAAATTTTTCCCCTCTGTCGACTTATCTACATCTCGCGTATTTTCCTCATTTCCCACAAAGATACACACACACTGCCTCCTCTGGCACACGCATTTCCACTTAATTTTCCTGACTCATTTATATAAATTTGTTTGGTTTCTGTGGCCTTAAGTATGCAGGACACGTTTTCGGGGGAAATCTGTGAAAAATAATTTTCTTTAGCATACTTCTCGGGGGGGGGCTAACAACATTGACTAGCAATTATGGAAAATACTATAAAATGTATTTATTTCTTTTGAGTAAAAAGTAATGTCCTGCCTGCAGAAGACCTGGGAAAACTTTGGCAAAAAATAATAAGGTCCAGTGCCGCAAAAACACCAAGACCACACAGGAAAGGAGAAGCCAATGAAGTGCCAGTGCTGCAAACCGACACGAAACTGGCACACACAAACAACAAATTAAAACTTTAAGCTTCGTAGTGCCGCAAAGGAATAATTTCAATGTCTAAAATCTTAACATTGACAGCAGATGCTGCAGAAAAAGGGCACTAGATCAGGGTTACGGCACAGTGCAGGCCACTTCAGAGGCACAACCATGCTGCAAAGACCCATCCCGAACACCCCCAGCGTTGTGCACTTGGCATCAATCAATAATTGCCCATTGAAGGCAGCTGCTGGAAGACTAGTTGGTTGGCTGCTCCAACCGAGGATGCCACGCCATGATTGATTAGCGGCATGCAACACGAGGTGCTTCAGCAGAAACCCGACTAGACGGCATAATATGGCGCTTATTGAATTGAGTCCTTTGGCCAACCCATCCCCTCTCCTTCTTTCATTCCTTTCTTTTCCGTGCCATGGCCACAGGACTGGCTGCTGGTGATATTGCATTGTATCTTTGGAATCGCCTGGGCCGCCAGGACACTCAAGGATGCTCGAACGGCTGTCGGTGTTCTTATCCGCCCCCTCAATCTCTTTGACTGCCGCTTGCATTTCCATTATGTCAATTTGCTCATTCTGCTCGGGTCATTTAATTGCCACCCCTTATTAACCCCTGAAAGGATGTGAGATTCATGCAGCACCTTTACACTTCGAAATTTAATCGGGTTTGCAAAGATATATCTTCCAAGAAATTACAGACTAAAATACTTTTTTCATGAAATTTAATACATATTAATGATTTTTAATGATCTGGAAATGATAATAAATAAATAAATTGTATATGATAGATGCATTCAGCAACTTTACACTATTTAATCGGTGGTGCACAGATATTTCTTTCAAGGTAATATAAAATCCGATGAATTTTACATTTTTTCTTAATTATTGGGAAATGATAATTACCGTGAAGAAAAAATACCTCATGGTTAATACATATCATTTCAATAATTTTTCTTCTGCAGCTTTTTTGGATTCATAAGAACACTTAATTCATATTGACTCTTTCTTCTCTGTTTCGTTACAGGTACGTTCGCAAGAGTCAATCAGAAGCGTGAGTAGCTGCCACAGGCAATTTTTTATTTGCCACTTATCGATATAAAAGTTCTTGGTTCGACGTAGTCAAAAGTTCAAAGTTGAAGCGAGCCTCAATTGCAGTTATCGAGTTCAGGGGCCTCGGCAAAGTGCATAAATAAATGCAAAAGAGTTTAGGTCAAAAAGCTGGAGTGCTACCCAAAAAGAGATTTCATATCCATTACAAAGTTGTCCAAAAGTTGGGAATAACTTTGGCCTGGGGTTTCTCGGTGACCAATGGGGCGTATGCGTAATATTAATTATGAATTTAACCCACTCGCCAAAGTCATTAATAAGCTGCAAGATAATCACTTGAATTTAATCACCCTACTAATTGGCAATAAATTAGACTCAATTTACCTAATAGCCCCACAAATATGCACTTAAACCCTGCAACATAATATGCATAATTATGCCAACGCTAGAGCCCCAAAACCAGAACCAAAACCAAAATCTAGCACCAAGACTTAGCAGGCAGCTGTGCCTAAGATCCCTATCCATGGTCATAGAAACCCATCATCATCGTCCTGGCCATCGCCTCTCACCTGCCTTCGTCTTAATCAACGCGTTTTATCGCCATGATTTTATTTTCGGCCTGGAATAAACTATTAGGAAAACTCATTTTCATGAAAATCCACTTTAATTGCTGTTACTGTTGTCGGTGTTGTTGCCATTTCCCCATCTGGTTCTGTGGTTATGGCAGCCAGCTAAAATCCACTGAGGGAACGTGAGGTTTCCTTTAATTCAGAGTGTAAATAACTCTCAATTTAGTTAAAATCAGGGACCGCAACAATTACAACATTCCCTTTAACAACCTTTTTAATCGGTATTAATCACCTGT